CATCTACAATCAGCAGATAGAATCTAAATCCACTTAAAGTGCTTACAGAGGCAGGACCCCACAAGTCTGCATGCAAATACTCAAGGATAGAAGTAGATTTATGAATTCCAGTTTTGAAAGGCAGTTTATTTTATTTTTATTCCATTTTTCAAAACTGACTATTTCTTTTTGCAGGTACTTGGAGCAAATGAAACCATGTAGTTATGTCTTTGAATCCACAAATGAATACTTAGAATAATTCAGCAAGGTGGAGAATGTTGGATATGAGCTATCTCACTATTCTCTGTCTTTGGGCCTTTGTAGTTTGTTGGCCTGTTTTGTTATAAGACTTGGGCTTGTGTGTTGTGTTTAGGCCAACGGGGTTGCTACCTTTTAAGTTGGTATAATCCTGGCTCTTCACGTGTCACATTCTATATCGTTGGATGGAGGAGTTGGATGGTTGCCTTTAAACCGTGTTCTGGACTCTTCTATTGGTATCGATTCATTCTCTTTGGCTAGGTTTTTTCTCTCTTCCTTTCTCTCTTGAGTGGTTGTCTTTGTAATTTGATTCTTAAGATCTTTAGTGTGATCTGTAATATCTTAGTGATATTTTTGAGTGTAGTTGTATATATTAGTGAGAGGAAATATGTATTTGTTAGAGGTTAGAGAGAACTTGACATTCTGTAAATCTGAACTTTGTGATATTCTTAGTGGATTCGAGCATAATCTACTGCGTAAATGCTCAACGGGTGAGTAGGCTTTTAACTGAACATCCGGGCTCCCAAAGGGGGCGAAAAATCTTTGTGTTGTTATTTTGTTTCTGCGATTTTACATTCTTGAGTTTTCTTGTTATGAATAACTGATTCTGGACCAACAGATTTCAACTTCACTCACGTTCAAGTATGTAGTTCTTGCACGCTTTGACAAATCGTCAAAAGCACGTGACCTTTTACGACTGTCAAGGAGGAGAAATTAAGAAATTTGAGTAAGAAGAAAAAAGCTCCACGAGATTGTATAAGCCCCGTTCAGTTAGCCCATTGCATGGTGACAATATATGCCATGATCACGAAGGTCACCCCGTTACCAGGAACTTTACCGAGTTCAATCCTTCTCGCTGCAGGAATAAAAACCATTCACTTCTTCTTGTGCCATTATTAAACTCATAATACAACCAGATTAACTCTTCTCCAGCCAATGTGCCGTCTCAAATTTCTCTTTCGTTGCGTTGCATCTTTGTGCAACAAAAATCAGGCCCATCTGGTCTATTTGAGGCCCAAACCTCATCATCTCATTAAATTAGGCCTTTTCAACTTTCAAGTCCTTTAAATTGATTATCCTTTCTTGCAAAAGAAAAATGAACTGAGCAATGGTTCGAACCTACTCATTTTCAACTATATCATATTGATCAGGTCATATAGGAACAAGGTTTATGTCTATCGATCTCTTAGAATGCCTCAACTGCGTACATTATTGCACTTTCACTTGATACCTAATAAATGTCTTGAAACTCATTTGCTTCTCTTACTTTTGATATTGTTTTTTAGAAGTACAAACACTTCATTGACTTCATTAGAACTCCTACTAATTTTTGTGTTACTTCCCTAGCGATGAAACATAATCCATCATGGGAAACAATTGCTAATTGCCTTTAAGCACCTTATGGAGCAAATTCGTCTTAAGAACACATCTTGAAATGACTCAATTTGAAATTTCGATCATATCGATCACGTTGTTACGCTATTCAAGTTTATTTCAATAATCTGAAAGTGTAAGTATCTTTAGATTGTTCGAATGAGAAAATTATATTCTAAAAACAACACAACAAGGCCAACATAAGGCTTAGTAAGAGTCAAATTGACTAAACACGAGTCAATTTACACATTATGACAAGGCAAGTTATTTAGTTACTATTTAAGTTCCATTATATTATAATGAAAACAACATTATAAAATTTATTGTAAAATTCTATTTAGTATAATAAATTGGCTAGAATTTAAAAAGTAAGTACCAAACTTATTAATATTTTATTTAATAATGTTGGTCAAAGTACTGTGTTTAACAGTATAAGCACTATCTAAAAAGCCATTCTTAGTGGTCAAACACAAAATTTCTCACTATTTAAAAATTAAACTCACTCACACCTGTAATTATCAACCCCACCTCACCGGCCCACCTCTCCCGTCGCCGTTTTCCATTCCTTTTATTATTGTTAAAGAAAGTTATAAAAAAACCTTTGGTCACCAATCTTTGAGGGGTGCTTCATTTTAACCACTCAATTTCCATTTTGTTTCAAAGTCAGTGCTGAAGTATAATTTAGGGGTTCATTCCTCACCTTGAAAAGGAACTCTTCGCTTTGAGGCTATATTATTCTCCTCTACTTTGTTGGGTTTTATAAAGTAGGAACGTTTTACAAGTGTTGGGTAATTTGCCGTGATGTTATTGATGATAGTGTACTCTCTTCGGATAGAATTTGAAAGGATAATGCAGTGTTTGAGGAGTTGGAGAAAGTTTTGGAATCTACGAAAAAGTCTTGGGAGCAAGGATTATGGTTTAATGATTTTTGTTCTTTTTAGTGGTCATAACTTGATCAGCAACAACTACCAAATCAGACAGATTTTTAATGACTCATTTACCTAGTTTAATTCTTAGTGAAATGACCAATAAAATGTGGGATTTAAATGAGTAACATGACAAGATAAGCAAAATAATCTTGATCGTGTCTTGAATGTTCTGGCAATAACTATGATTCCTAACAAATCCATAGACTCTTCATTGTAAAAAGGAGGAAATAAAATGTTCAATCGGACTCACTTTATACATTTTTTTAAAAAATTGCCCTCATTCCCACTGTCCAACCAACAAAGCAAATAACAGTACTGAGAAAATATATTTTCTAACTAGGAAAATTCTTAGTGTTAATTTTGTGCATAATTTAACAAAGAAGAAATTTAAATTTTGTCCATAGTTGAGTGACCTCCAGCGGGAAAATTCAACAAATCAAACCCCCTCCCCCACACGGACCCACTTCACGCCACAATGATCCTCCGTTCTCTTTAAGCTTTCAACTCCTGCCCATAGAATCATTAACAATGACTCCTCCTCGGAACAGATCCACATTCACCTTTCTGTTGTTGATTTCTCTGCTGTTCCCCAACTGGGTTTTCGCGGAAGATGATGTAAAGTGTTTGCAAAAACTGAAGAGCTCATTTAATGACCCAGAAGGGAAGCTCAACACATGGAGCTTTTCAAATTCATCCGTGGGTTTCATTTGCAGCTTCGTTGGTGTTTCGTGCTGGAACGACCGTGAAAATCGTCTTTTCAGCCTCGACCTCAGGGACTTTAACCTTACAGGAAAAATCCCGGATTCTTTACAGTACTGTCACAGCCTCCAGACCCTGGATCTCGCCGGTAACAGTTTTTCTGGTTCGATCCCACCTCAAATCTGTAATTGGTTACCTTATATGGTCACTTTGGATCTATCCCATAATGTTTTGACCGGTCAAATCCCCTCGGATCTTGTTAACTGTGCGTATTTGAATAATTTGCTTTTAGATGACAACAGATTGTCTGGGAATATACCATATGTGTTCTCTAATTTAGGAAGGTTGAAAAAATTTTCAGTTGCGAATAATGATTTATCTGGGAGGGTGCCCTCGTTTAAGTATGATTTGTTGGAGCTTGATTTGGGTGGGAATAGTGGGCTTTGTGGGGGCCCTTTGGGCAAATGTGGTGGTGGATTGAGTAAGAAGAATTTGGCTATTATTATTGCTGCTGGAGTTTTTGGTGCTGCAGCTTCGCTGTTGTTAGGTTTTGGTCTGTGGTGGTGGTATTTCACTAAGTCTAATAAGAGAAGAAAGAGTGGTTATGGGATTAGTGGAAGAGATGATGGGAGTGGGTGGGCAGAGAGATTGAGGGCTCACAAGCTTACTCAGGTTATGCTGTTCCAGAAACCACTTGTGAAGGTTAAGTTAGTTGATTTATTGGCGGCAACGAGTAATTTTAGTGCCAAGAACACTATAGTCTCCACTAGGACGGGGATTACTTTCAAGGCAGTGTTACCAGATGGATCGGCTCTTGCAATTAAACGGTTTAGTACATGTAAGATGGGGGAAAAGCAGTTTCGTACTGAGATGAATAGGTTAGGGCAGCTAAGGCATCCAAATTTGGTGCCACTTTTAGGGTTTTGTGTAGTGGAGGAGGAGAAGCTGTTGGTTTACAAGCATTTGTCAAATGGGACTTTGGGTTCCATATTGAATGGGAATGCTGAAGTGTTGGATTGGCCAACGAGGTTTAGGATTGGATTGGGTGCTTCAAGGGGGCTTGCCTGGCTTCACCATGGTTGTCACCCTCCAATCTTGCACCAGAATATTAGCTCCAATGTGATTCTTCTTGATGAGGATTTAGATGCTCGGATAATGGACTTCGGATTGGCAAGACTCCTGACTACTTCTGAATCTAATGAGAGTAGCTTTGTCCATGGGGATTTAGGTGAAGTTGGATATGTAGCTCCCGAGTACGCAAGTACAATGGTTGCTTCACTTAAAGGAGATTGTTATAGTTTTGGAGTAGTGCTGCTCGAGTTAGCTACTGGGCAGAAACCTCTGGATGTGAGTACTGCCGATGAAGGATTCAAGGGTAATTTGGTCGACTGGGTAATTATGCTCTCTAATTCTGGTCGAATGAAAGATGCTATTGATAAGCGCCTGTGCGGAAAGGGGCATGATGAGGAAATTGTAAGGTTCTTAAAAATTGCATGTAATTCTGTGGTTTCTCGCCCAAAGGATAGGTGGTCTATGTATCAGGTCTATGGATCACTGGAGGGCATAGCTGAGGAACGAGGTTTCTCCGAACGTTATGATGAATTTCCTTTACTATTCGGAAAACAAGAGATCACTAGTCCCGTTCGACTTTGAGAAACTGAAATCTGAATGAGATGCACATCAGAATGGTGAAACAAACTTCTTGACCATATTTCTGCATACTGAGGTAAGTTCCCTGGAGCAAGTTGTTGATATCCATCCCTATTGGCTTTTGGAAACGCATTTCACATTTGCTGGATATATCTGTATAAATAAACTGATACTTGGAGGGAAACATTCTGTTTGGTTGAAATATTTGGCTGGTGAAATTACTTTGGTTCTTAATGTGTGTAATATGCTCTTTTCCTAATAGCCATTGATATTTTGCATTGAAGATCATAAGTTGAGTTAAATGTTTCGTTAGTTGTTGAAAATGTATCTTCATCACATTTTACTCATTGAACTTTAAAAGTGTTTTCGAGTAATCACTGAAATTTAACACGTTGCACTTCATTACGCACTGATCATGTTTCATCAGTCATTGAATTTTAAAATGTTTTCGAATGATTACTGAACTTTAACATGTTACACTACACTCACTCACTCATCAGGGTTCATTAGTGATTGAACATGTACCTCTGTTTCATGGGGTGCCTTTCTTCTTAGCACATAAATGGATATTGTGCGGCAGTAGTCTGCTCCGCTAGGCTACCTTCCGCCTTCTCTCAATCGTTTTGGGACGAAAGAAAATTTGATTACAATTTGTAGAAAGCTTGCTATATAAAATTGAGATACATTGAAAGTAAATTGATTATTGATTGTTTGAAAGNNNNTAAATTGATTATTGATTGTTTGAAAGTTAGAAATTACAATTGATGAAAGTAGGAAATTACAATGGCTGGTACAGGGGGCGAACATGAGTAAGTTTGAAAGATTTTTGAATGACTAATATCCTCTATAATTGCTTGTAAAACAAAAACCCAAATGATAGGAGTAGACGTTTAAATGCCAAGTAATCATACTAAACGTTTTCCAATATCAGAGTTATTTTACAATTGAAATAAACTATTACAATGAAAATGAAATTATAACTCAAATTTGAACTAATATTTACAATGTGCGGCCGATATTGGGCAAACTGCGACTACGATTGGGTCAAGGGGCTAGTTGAAGTTGCGGTCCTTGACATTTTCCCCCATTTGTTTGGGTGACGTCCTCGGTGCCCTCAATGCACGACATTCTTCAATTAATAGTTTGAAGGTTCAAATGTTTTTTCTTTTTTCCAAGTATTCTCCTCGCTGCTGCATATACTCTATTTGACCAAGTACTTTTGATGATATTTCTAGAAGCTCGAGTAGTACGATGTTCTAGTATAGCTTCTGCAACCTTCTTTCTGGCTTTTCTTAGTTCAAACACAGGTCGCTTCGGCTCATTTCTGGATGCGTCCTCCTTGTCTGCATAATATGACTTGAATACACCAATATGAACGACCTTGTGGATTTTGTACCATGAAAGGAGTGCAACTCTGCATGCGACTCTTCCAATCCTCTTCATGATGGGTAATAGTCCAATATATTTTGGCACCAATCTTGAGTCTTTCCCTTTTGTCGGTTTATAACAGTTTCTATCGGGGAGTTTGACCATTACCAGATTTTCAATATTAAATTCAAGGAAACGACGCTTTAAATCTGTAGACTTTTTATATCGTTTCTGAGCTTTCTTAAGATAACTTTGAGCAATTTCAATATTCCGTTTCCACTATTGAGAAAAGCTTTTCGCTTGAGGAGATTTGGTACTTTGGTCGATATCCACAATATAAGGGAGTAACGGTTGTTGGTCAGTCACAATCTTAAAAGGACTCTTATTGGTGGAAGAGCTTTTTTGAGTATTGAAACAAATTTGAGCGACATCTAAAAGTATCATCCAATTTTTCTACGAAATAGAGATAAAGTGCGGAAGATATTCTTCCAGCATAGCATTGAAGCGCTCTGTCTATCCGTCAGATTGTGAGTGAAACTAGAACAAAGGTGAACCAAGAAGTTTGAACAACTCGGTCCAAAATATGCCAGTAAATCGAGGATCTCGATCACGACGATGTCTTTAGGCAGCCCCAGTATTTGACAATATGCTTGAAAAAGAGTTGAGCTGTATCTTCAACTGATACATACTTAGGCGTTGCGATGAAAGTTGCGTNACTTCGATAGACGGTCTACCACGACGATGATCGTGCCAAAATCTCCAACTTTTGGCAATCCAACAATGTATTCCATCGATACAGTCTCGAATGGTCTAGTTGGGACGGAAAGAAGCTCAAGCAAGCCTTACTTTTTCCGATGATCTATCTTATCTTGCTGACAAGTAAGACATGTTTTCACATAATTTGCAATGTCATCCTGCATTTGAGGCCAGTAGTACGCACGTTGCAGTAGTGCAAAAGTGCGTTCCTCTCCAAGATGCGTTGCCTAAATCGTTCGTAGCATTCCGTAATTAATGATTTCCTCATATCTCCGCACTTAGGAACATAAATGCAGTCTCCCTTAGTCTTCACTAGGCCTCCATCGAGCCAGAACTAACGAGTTTTACCCTGCTTGATGAGGTCGACCGAATATTGAGTAGCCGTGTTATTATCCAAAAGTGTCAGAATTTGGTCCCTTGTGTTTGTAGTAACTGTACTTCCTGAAAGAACATCCATAGAGCAAATGGCAGCCAAGTCGGCCCGGCGACTAAGAGTATCGGCTACATGATTACTAGATTTGAGACGATATTCTAACATAAATTAAACTTTGAAAGAAGTTCTAGCCAACGAGTCTGTTTGATTGATAGTTTCGATTGGGACATGAAGTGACTAACCGCAGTGTTATCCGTTTCACAATAAATGGAGATCCAAGCAAATAGTGACGCTATCCCCTAAGGCAATATATTACTGCCAACAACTACTTTTCGTGCACCGAGTAACGATGTTCTGCTTGATTCAGCTTCTGGCTCTCATAAGCTACCGGATATCCTTCTTGTATAAGGACTCCACCAAGTACAAAATCTGAAGTATCGGTATGCACTTCGAATGGTTTAGCCATATCTCGTAAGGCTAACACCGGGTTCTGCCCATAGATTTCTTCAACTTTTCGAAAGCATTTTGACATTGGGATGACTAGTTCCAATCCTTATCCTTCTTTGTCAATTCTGTAAATGGCAATGCAATTTCTGAGTACCATTTCACGAATCTTCGATGGTAATTGCATAACTCGAGAAATAAACATACATCATGGACATTCTTTGGTGGTTGCCAGTCTTTGATAATTGTAACCTTCTTCGAATCCATACGTATTTTGTCTTGTTCGATGATGCGACCCAAGAAACTGATAGATGTCTGAGCGAATGAGCATTTAGATGATTTGGTATAGGGTTCATTCTCGCATAGCCGATTGAAAACTTGCCTCACATGTTGTACATGTTCTTCCAATATCTCGCTATAGATAACTACGTCATCCAGGTACACACCACAAAATCGTCTAAGAACTCGTGAAGTACTCGATTCATTATCGTACAAAACGTTGCTGGAGCGTTTGTTAAGCCAAAAGGCATCACTTTAAATTCGAATGTTCCATACCTTGTTATCACCGTAGTCTTTGCTTCATCTCCCTCTTTAATCCGAACTTACCAGTATCCGGACCTGAGATTGATCTTTGTATAATACCTCGCCCGGCTTAGTCGGTCAAAGCAATTCGCAACCAGTGGAATAGGGTAGTTATTCTTCACAGTGATCTTATTCAAGGTTCGATAGTCGCAGCACATTCTAAGAGAACCATCTGCCTTTTTCTGAAACAATATGGGAGCTCCATATGGTGATT